ATGGTTTTCATCAAAGGACAATGAGTTGATTCTATTATATCTTCATGACTCCCAATGGTGGATAAAGAGCCAAATTTGCAGCTCTATATATCTCTATCATTAGTTCCTATCAATGGACAATGGGCTAATTCTATTACATCAATACAACCCTCGGTCATGGACAAAAGGCCAAATTTACTATTACATCTTTATTGTGTTGGTTTCCAAAAATAGACAAAGGGTTGGATCTCTAATATTTTATTCCTAATGGCTCTCAAAAAAGGACAGAGAGTCAACGTAACTTGGTACGATTAACATGAGATCGGTAACAGTTACAACCTTGTGATTGGTTTGGATGCCTGTGCATGGTGGTACAGTGCCTAGCGAGCAACAACAGCCAAGGCCATCCTCTGACGATGCAGGTACAATAAGAAAGGCTAGTGTTTGAGTATGGTATCACATCTTATCGTATCAGAGGCCATGGATATGACTGGCGTCCCTTTTCCATGGATAAAACTCCACACATTTTTATCACACATTCATTACTATGGTGGAGTCGTGGATTAATGAGATTTATCCCTTTCATGGCTTGGCAAATTAATAGGAATACTTTTTCGATTTCACATAGTTCACTCTTCAGTCATAAGCAAAATTAGCCATTGTTGCTCCTCTCATTATGGGGAAGCCATTCATGGTTGACCCCGCGACATTCATACAACATGGCAGGTGGTCATGCGCATCATTATTCTTGTATACAAAGGGATAAAATTACTAGTTGCCAGTAATCCCATTTTTATAACATATTTTTTCTATATTTTAATGTGTTGGCAGGTATCATTGACTAACAGCATTTGGTTCGATAAAATGATCCTGCAACACACATCCATATTTATTCATTCTCTATTTTGGTGCATCGCCAAATATACACATCAATATTATATAAGTGCTCACCATGGCCAATGGATAATAGGGCACTGTAATGTTCATTCTCATAATTCCCTTTGATATACAAAGGAGTATCCTTTTTTGCTGCACATACTTAGACATTTTACACTTATGCATTTGAATAAATACTTATTCATAATTTGCTCTTTGTTGTAGATGAATACAAACCCATGAATCTAAGCTCATGGGGAATACTCGAGATAAACTATGGGAGTAGTGGCTTGGTAGGCATCGATAGATTACATTGCTCATTTGACGAAATAAGGTATTTGTGCTAGCCAAGCTTGAAGCTAGTTTTGTTGCCTAATTACACCACGAAGGGCTGGGTGGCAAAGACGTGGAGGCAATGCTTGATCTCCTACACCATTTGATACTAACTAGAAGGCTTGGAATTCCATTGAAAATCAACCCAAGATGTTATTTGAGTCTACATCACCAGTCTACAGCTATATTTAATGTTTGGTTAGCTACACAAGTTCCACTGCATTGGAAACTATTAAAAATATTATACTTTGATTAAGAAAATCACCAAAATCTAGGACAAAGATGGTTTGCTAGTAGTGCTTAAGTGCCCTCCAGATATGGTATTTCGTATGGATAGAAAATTGCTAGAAGTAGAAAGGCTCCAGTGAACTAGCAGTCCTTTGTTGGAACCATTAAAAAATTCATAATTTCATTTCAAAAAGCTATCAGCAGTGCTTAGATCCACTTAAAACTTGACAGTTGTCTTCACCAAACCCAAATCTACCCATTGGTTCATTTGGCTAGTCTAATCCCACCAACTCAAAATTACCAAAATGTCGTTATATATATCTATATATATATATATATTAATTTTTCCTTCAGATTTCAATAGATTTGAGAAACTAAAGAGGGTATTGAACACTAGACCCCATTTGTTCCTTTAAAGAATCCTTTATCTTTAACCTCTCACATCATACACTAAAATCTCCTAGAAATCTCTATTTTCTCATATTTTCTATACTTCTAACCTTGTAGATTACACTCCAGACTTGCAGAACGTCATGGTTGGGGTACTACATGCTATAGTTTTAGATTTTGGGTTATATTCTAAAGCATTAGAAGATCGAGTAGCAAAGTTAGCAAACAAGAAAAAGGATCAAATCCTTCATTCATAAGCCTCCACAATGGTTATCCTTCCTTCTCCCATCACTACTCTCAAGTTTATTTCTTCTGTTTTGTGGAAGTTTAAAAAGATTGTTGTGTTTCCAACCACAACATAAGGGTAGCTCATTTTAGAGTGAGGGTATTTGTCACGGATAGTTGAGGGCACATTTATTATTTCTATTATTATGTTACAATGTATTATGTATAAATGTGCTTCTCAAGTTGTAACATTTGATCCTTATACATTTTCTATCCTTGCTACTCTTGCCATAATGCACATCTCCTTTTCATTATTTTTGATAGTTGTGTAATCATTTCCAGCTTTGGAAACCCAATCATTACTACCTAACTCTCATGGCTTGGTTTGGGAATTTACACTTTAAGACTTTGCTAGAGAACTCAATGCCACAACCTTTGCTAGACAGAAAAAGATGGCTCGTGGCATGTACCTTCTCGCATGTGAAACGAGTACACGCCAAAAGGACCTTCCTCATTTCCTAATAGGGAAGGCATCCTAGTCAACTTCCACATCATCAACATTGTTGACTCATCAACTCCCTATGCATACACACCTCAACAGTTCATTTCTAGGAGCCAATAAGAATATAATACATAGAGATTTGACCTTTTGTCTATTTTTGGAAGCAAATGTAATAAAGATGTGTAGAAGTTTGTAACCTTTTGCCTATTGTTGAAGGCTAAATAAGACAACAAATTTGGCCTTTTGTCTAGCACCGAGAGCTATATAGATATAATAGAATTAGCCCGTTGTCTATTGATAGGAATTAGTGATAGAGGTATGTAGAGTAGGAAATCTAGCCCTTTATCTATCATTGGGAGTTGTAGAGATATAATAAAATCAGCTTGTTGTAATTTAATGGGAGCCATGTAGATACAGTAAAGTAGGCTCTTTATCCATGGTTAAGAGCGAAAAAGATGTAGCAATGAATGTTGTAGTAGAGATCATGACTGTAAAAAATGTCTAGCCATGTCGTGGAGATAGATGCAACCAAGTTTGACCATGTATATAAGAATAGTATTGAAGTAGACCATGTCTGTAATATTTCCAATGAAATAGATAAACGTAGCTTTTGACAATGTTGACTCTATTGCAATCATCAACATAAAATAAAATATAAAAAATCTAATGTGGAAATAGATCATGTGGACCCTTCCCAATCACAAGTCCAAAGCTAGTCTTGCTGACGTGGCACTATACACATTGTGAATTCTAGGACAATACAAATTCATCCCTCAACATTAGCCCCCCAAGTGGACGAAGTTAAGGAAGCAAGTTTGGCCAGTTGGAGAAGTTGAGGCAGCAAGTTTACCCATTTAGCGTTAAGGGAGACAAATTGTTGAGACCATCTAGATATGATTAAGAGCATGATAGAATAACATAGAAATCTAATGATCAATATGAATTTTTCTGTCAAAGCAGCTGTAGAGCAAAAGATTTGAAACTAATAGAATTTGACTTCAACCAAGTGGTTTGTTGATATTAGCGTGACTTCGACAAAAGAAAAATTGAACCAAATCTAGCCATGCAAAATAGATAATAGCAATGCATGCAACCTCAATACGGCTCAGCTATCATTGATGAACAAGGCTAAAGCAAAACTCTAGCCAATAAATCTAATATTGTTGACAAAGCCTTAACAAAAATAGAATTGAGCATGGCCAGAGCGAAATTCCAACCAAGAGATCTGACATTGTTGGGTGATGACTTTGATTGATGTAGACATAAGGCTAATACGCAAACTTCGAGTCACATCTTCGCCAAAGTTCCAATATGGGCTGCACTATTACTCCTTAGAAAAATAATAAATTATGAGTAGTTATTGTAGAAAAAAAATTTTCTGCACTGTTTACATGTAGTTTAAATCCAAAGAGGACTTAAAACTACCTTCGGAGTGGTTTTCAGCAATTAAAAAGATAACTTCCTCCACTTTTTAAAAGATAAAGATTCAATTCTCCAAAAATTTTGTCATAATTGCCACATAAAAAAGGTAGATTTTAAGGGAAATCAAGTGCAAGCAATTGTAGGATATTACCATGCACCTCGCTTACAATCCCTTGGATGGTGTCCAACCATGCTGATGAATGACATGTGGTAGAGGTAGTTGGTTGATGCATTTAAAGCTCTTTTTTAACCCCTTTTTTGGTCTTCTTCAACTTTTGTCAAAACTTTTCAAGTTCTTTCTCTCTTTTGAAGAAACTATTGAACTTTCTCCTCTTGCACTTTCAATTTTCATCAATCTTCTATAAAAATTTATGGATTTTGGGGCGACGTGACCAGATTTAAACTAAAAGAGCATGCCCATTTGTTGATTTGACAACATTCCCCCTTTTAATTGAGGTAGATAATGAACTTCCCTTCTCTACTTCTTTCTTCCTTTTTTTTGGCATGTTGTGGATCTCTTTATCTTCTTTAACATGAGTTTTTGTCCATCCTTTTCTTTTCTTTTCTTACCTCTCTCTTTCTACACAACAGGGTTTAAGTATGGTTGATCATCTTTCGATTGATGGGGTGTACCCATATCATGACCCATGGTACACTCTTCGAGATGGCTTTCTAGAGTTTAATGCTTGGTCCATCAAGAGGGCACTTGAAAAGCAAAAAGATCTAGTTTTGCTCAAACTTTTAAGGGGTGGTGAGGTTGATGAAGGTTGATGAGGCATGGTTTCCCTCACAAAAAGATTTGATGTGGACGAGGCTAGAAAGACATGACTTGTTACCGATGCCAATCCATTTCACCTTCCCATTGGGCAAAATGGAAGATTAGATGAGTTAGGCCAAAGATATGTTAGTCGATGGCAACTTTGTAAAGGTGCTACATGTTGCTGGGATACTCAAGTCTATAGCTTTGAGTTGGATTTTCTAAATTAGTTGTAATGTTGAGTGTCTTTGCCACTTGGTAAGAAGTTGGTGCATAAGTACTCACACTTTCATTCTTGCTTTTGGGGAAATTTCTGTACCATTGAAGGATATAACGAAGCTGATGTTGTTGCCCATTGTCAAGGATGAAGATCCATGCCACATAGCCCTGACGCAACATGAAAGCTTTATCCAAGCAGCCTTGAAGAAGCTGATGAAGGAAAATGCAAGTACTTGGTCCTGGTCATGGAGAGGAGAGTATAACATCAATTTTCTGACATGGATTTGGTATTTCCGGACTAGTGAAGGCAAAGCCTTCCTCACAACTTGGTTGAGCAAGTTTATCTTTGGAGGTTTTTCAAACCATGAGATTATGGTTGATTGTATTCCATTGGCTACACGCTTGGCTGAAGGAGTGAAGCTTTTCTTAGCTCTGTTGATGTTAGGTGCACTTTACCACATGCTTGACTTGCTTTATTTTGATGAGATTCTTTGTGCCAGATATTACATCATCGAGACATATGTTTGTTTATCTTTGCTGCAAATCTTTGCATGGGAGAGGTTTCATCCTTACCACTTTGGCCGTGTTACCAGCAGTAAAGATTTGGAGTACCCCATGGCGAAGTGTGGCTATACCAATGGGATGTCTCCGCTAACTTGTTTATGGAAAGGAGAAAGAAAGGTAAAAGGCCAAGTAGTTCTCGAGGTTAACAGCTTCCTTGATGATCATGACAGCTTTAATTTTCACACACACAAGACTATGTTGGAGACATTTGCACTACCAAAGGTAAGTTTATTTAATAAAACACTTACACTGATGCCTGAAAATCAAATTGTGGACTTCGCTATAGGGAACTTAGGCCATTTGAAGATGTTGACGGTGATAATGCCATCTATGTTGCCATGCATCACGTGGCAAGGGTTGTGGGGTCTTGAGAGCTATTGTCCAAAAAGAGTTGCATGGAAATTCAGCTATGACCAAGATATACCTTCACCCTCTTTCTCAAACAAGTCATATTGGGATATTGTTATGAGGCCTTACATTGTTGAGATTGCCACAGCCATGTGAAGTGAAAGTGTTGCCACACTCAGATTTTTCAACCATGCTAAGGTATTGACTATGTCATCCTTGATGTTGAAATATTGGGAAACATTTTTGAAGAAGTTTGGTGCCTTTCTCCAATCACCGCCAGAAATTGTTGCATATGATGTCACTTCTAGAATGTGACCGTCTTTTTGTAGACAATAATTCTTTCTTGAGTTATTGCAACAAACATTTTTGGGGTTTCTTAAATAGAGAAAATAATGAAATGTGGGTACTTGTATACTTACCTGTCCCTGGCATTACGAAGGAAGAGCATGGTTGAAGTGAAGGTGCTAACGAAGGTGCTGGCGAAGGGCAAGGATAAGGGTTGGCTGGTGATGATGAGGTCAGAGATATAGAAACTTCTTTAACTTCACCTTCAACTTGGGTTCTTCTTCAATTTGAAAACTTAGCTGGGTTGAATATATGATAAAAAGTGTCTCATACTTATACTTTTCCATGTCATATTGCAGGAGAAGCTAGCCAAGTTGGCTCTTCAAAGAAAGAGTCCTAGGCAAGAGAAAAAGCATAACCTAGCCATCTAAGAGCAAAGGGCACAAGGCTATCACTTTGCCAATTGGTAAACAAAGGAAGGCCAAAGCACTTGCCTCCTTTGAGGCCAAAGCCACCAAGGAGAAAGAGAAGAGAGTGAGGACATTGATAGTGAGCAAAGTTCTTAAGGCAACTCGAATCCAGAGGTGAATATCGGATCAAAAGATTAAGGCCCATTCATAGTGATAAATGCTTGGGCATGACTATTGGATCTTTCTTTGTGGGCTTAATGTGAATTCTTAATTGTTGTTGACCTCACTAAAAATTCTCCAATATATGGGTTAATATTTGCATGGGCAATTGGCAACTTCTAGTGGAGGTCTTGGCCCACTCCCCATTCTTGTCAATGATAATGCTCCGTCCAAGTCTAAAGAGGCCAAGGAAGTAGAAGCCCTAGCGGTGAACATAAAGGAAGCTTTGACGAAACTTGAAGTTTGCTAGAAGATCTTGGCTACTGAAGTAGGTGAGCCTCTACTTCTTGATGACACCCTTAGCTTTGTTGACAATATTGTTGACGAGGATGACCCTGCATCTTTCACAGTTGAGATGACAAAGAAGAAGACTAAGGTCAATACATATTCACCATGGAAATCCACCATAGTAAGTCATATGCACTTGTAGATAACCTTTGAAATCAAAGAATCCTATCTTGAAAAATGTAAAAGCACAATTGATAAGTCTTTCTTGTTCTACCATAGGCTAAAAGAGGTGTGATGATTTCACATGGCACCCCTAAAATAGCAAAGAAATCCAAAGCAACAAAGGCTTGGCCAGGGAAAATAGTGTTAAAGGTTTGAGCCTTTCCACTTTCACAAGAACTAAAGGGCATTTTGCCATTACCAAAGTTGCATTTTCCTTTTCTGTACAGCTACATTCGATTAGCAAATTGCCTTCATTCAAAGCTGGCAATTTCAAACTAGTCCTATAAGAACCTCCAACTAAAGAGAGTGTTAATACCACCGTTGCTTGCTGATTGATTGCACTTTTGCTTGCTTTGCCAAGTGCTAAAAAAGGTAAGGCCTAGGCCATAAGCTAGTGAAGTAAAAGGCAAGGAGGCTGTTGAAGATACTACCTCTGAGTCCAATGAAAGCAATGATGACAAATCCACCGACAATGATGAGTGATCTGGGGGTGAGAATCTCTAACCAAGGAGGCGAAGATAAAGGCTTCCATGGTAGTATAGACATAAATAAGGCCCACTTGAAGAGTCTGAATCTGATATAGGTGACGCTTCAAAGAAGCTTGTTCCTAAAAAAGACAAGGTGGACATTGACAAGCCAACCATGAGTGCAGCAAAAAAGGTTGTTAGTTCTAGTGAAGTTGTGCATAGTGGTAAGCCACCCTTAATTCTAGCCTAGTTAAGTGAGGTTGATGACTATGCTATGAAACTGCTCAATGACTTAAATGAGATAAACGAGGATGGAGATGTATCGCTGGCTTGATTTGGTCTAGTGCCTACTAGCGATGTTTGACTAGTAGGCAAATTTGAAGTACACCCAATGCTGGAGACATGGGCATGCCATCTCTTAGAGATTCTTCTAGAACTAATTGTGCACAATAGAGCCAAGAAAGTGATGATCGAAGATGCCTTCATAAACCTTTTTGTAGCCATGCGACACATGGAGGTAACCCTTTTTGCCAAAATTAATAAGGACTTCTTTTACTTGCGTAGGTATGCTATTGGTGATGCTGAGAGCATAAACTTCAAAGTTGGCACCATTTGAGCACACTATTAGATCTAGTGAGGGCATACCTTCGTAAGGGCAAATTTAGCATGGCTGGAGGCAATATGGTTAGGAACTTGGACAAGCGGATTGAGAGCAGATGAAGCATATTGAAGCAATGGAGAAGTCCTTGATTAAGATGAAGGAGCTCATCCTTAATTTGGAAGATAGGTTAAAATTAGCCAAGGCATATCTAGAATTGCTCAACGAAGAAAAGGAGTGCCCGAATTCTAACAAGATTGCTCAACTTTGCCAGACTTGTGTTGAAATTGCCAAGACTTATAGTGATGAGCCTAGTCCTTTCTTTTCCAACCATGAGTAGCCATATATCCATCCTTCTCTTTGTTATAAACGACTTTTATTCTACTTCATTAGTATTGTGATGACTGCTGGCGATACACCCATAATGTAACCATCTCATTGTGCTTGTTTTGGGTTGAATAGCAAGGCCTGGACTTCTTTACTTTGAACACTTGTTTTCTTCATGACTTATGATTTTCTTGTATGTCAAGTATGGCATTTGAACAAATATAGATATGCTATTTACATATGATAATGCATGGATTAAGGAGGTTGTCTTATAAGTATTTTGCATGGTGTGCATTTCATTTCTTTGTTTCTTTTTCTTTTTCTTTTTTTGGATATATACATTCTACATGCTACACCTTTACTGAGTCTTTTTTTTTTTTTGTAACAATACTCCTTATCCTTACATAGTGATAAAGCAAAATAGATAGAACATAAGCAAATAGCTACATAATGTGCCAAATATAACAAAAGAGTGTTATGCGCACTTTACACATAATTGCAAAGGATAAATGAAATTAACCTCTTGGCTGGAATGAATCACAACACCAAAGGTAGAATTACAAAATGAAGAGTATGTGCTGCTCAAGAAACAGTGCTGGCGAAGCCTAGCAATCGTATGGCTTAAGCCACCTAGTATTCATAGGGTCTGATAACGACTCTCCCTTGTGAGTTTTGAGACGAAAGTACCCATTGTCATGTGCTTGCACAACAATGAAGGGACCATCCCAATTTGGAGCAAACTTGGATGGGCCAGCAATTTTCTTCCTTACATGGTCGAAGACTTTGAGAACTTTTTACCCAATAGTGAAAGCTCTAGCTTTAACTTCACGATTGTAGGCATTAGTCATCTTTGACCAATATTTTTTAGCCTTTTCTTATGCTACTTGGTGAAGTGCTTTAAGGAATCTAAGTCTTCAACTTGCCTTTGGCCATAGATGTCAGCATTGTTGTCTAATTTAGATGCAACCAAGATACGCGTTGTTTGAATTAAGACTTCGTCAAGAAAGACAGCATCACAGCCATATATAAGAAAACAAGGCAAAAAACCTATGGCAAGGTTGGAGTATGTTTGATGAGCCCAAAGAGTGTCTTACAAATAAGTGCTCTAACCTCCTTTATACTTATGGGCCATCTTACTCAAAATCCTTAGCAAACTTTTATTAGTTGCTTCTGCTTGGCCATTACCTTGGGGTAGTATGGGGTGGATTTTCAATACTTGATTTTATAAGTGTCCAACAATCTTTGCATATATTGTTTGACAAAAGGAGTTCCATTATCGCTCACAATTTTGTATAGAGTTCCAAAGTGGCAAATAATGTGCTCGCTTATAAAATTTGACATCGCGCTAAACCTATAGCCTTGCAAAAAGGAATAGTTTCCTCTCACTTACTAAAATATTTAATGGCCACCAATTTCCATACATAACCCTCAAATATGGGATGGAAAAGGCTAATAAGGTTCAAAACCCAAGTATGAAAAGGCCAAAGAGTTTTCATATCTTGCAACAAATTAGGGTGAGAATGAATAAGGTTAGCACAAACTTGCCAGGTGTGACATTGTCAGACAAAATTTACAACATCTTGTTTCATACTTGGCCAATAATAACCGTGAGGCAAAAGTTGCTCATACAACTTTCTTTGCCCTTGATGTTCACCACATTCCTCTGCATGTATCGTATCCATAACCTTATAGGACTCTGTCAAAGATATGCAGTGAAGTGATTTGCTAGCAAAGCTGGTACAAAACAAAGCTCCATCATCCATGAAAAATTTTGACAAAGATCTTTTTAAGTTGTGCACATCCTTTAGAGACTCTAGCCATATTCCCTAAGCAAAATACTCCATATAAGGATGACACCAATCTTTGAACACTGTCAGTAGTAAAGCATTCCTCATTTTGACAAAAAGTTTACTGATAAGATATACATTACTACTGAAATTCAATGGCTTGGCCTACCATGTCTAGCCAATAATACCTTACTCTTTGAATTCAGTGGTATAGGCTTACACAGTTGTCCTGGCTACATGTACAATCATGGTTTCTAAGTCTGTGATAAGCCGTTTTATCGCTAATGCCCCTAACCATAACACTGTTAGGGAGGCAACAATACAACGCGTGTAGCACCTGAAACAAAAATAAAGATATATTAGTTAAAGAAAAGAAAAAAAAATCATATTTTTATATTTTTGTGTTTATTTTGATATTTTATAAATTTTTATGATTTTTTTGATTAATTTTGTGATTTATATTTATATATTTTTTATGAAAATTTGAGTTATGATAGTTGCCTTCCTTTTCTTTTCTTTTCTTTTTGTTAAGAATGAAAAGAAAATACAAGAATAACTCAAATTTTCAATATATTTTTTTTTTCAACTAAATAGGTAAAGTAAAACTAGTCAAATGACCAAATAGGTAAAGTAAAAACAGTTAAGAAACTACAATGGTTAGTTGATCGAATAAATAAAGTAAAAATGATTAAGAAATTGCAAGTGAAGTAAAACGGTTTTATAATCACAATTGAATGACTAAACAAGTTGATCTTAAATGGTTTTATAACCGCAATGGGCAAATGACCGACTAAGTTGATCTGAAACAGGTTTTATAACTGCAATAGTCGAATGAGTAAATCAGTTGATCTCAAATGAGTTGATCTTA